TGATCTTCCCGAGCCATAAACAATACTATTTGGTTAATTCCTAGGGGGTATAGCATTGAGCAGTATCAATGCGCCATCTCCATGGTCTCCTTCTCTTCTTGTTTATTCGATTAGTTCAGTTGCAACTTGTATCCTATACTAGTTGGTAGGCAGACCTAAATGAAATTGGACTCGTAGACCCAAAATAACAATAATAACAATAACGGATTTGCAGGTCCAAAATGATTAAGAGCTCGCAGGCTCATAAAACGACAAGAATAAAATTAACCATTCAACACATCCATATGATCGAGTCCATAATCGTCCATTAATAATACATTCATCACATAAATGTATGTGTATATAATATCTAATATTATATGCAAACACGTTTTCAAGTTTCAAGCAATTAAGGTCGTCTAAATTCTTTTATACAAATGGATCGGAACAATTAAATAATTAATTAAATTAGCGAGCATATTTAATTAAAATCAAATTTTAACTAAATAACAAGATTAGAGTCCAACTCTAATTTCAAAACTTAAGGCTGATGAATTTAATTAAAATCAAATTTTAATTAAATAACAAGATTAGAGTCCAATTCTAATTCCAATATTAAAGGCGAATTTATTTAATTAAAATCAAATTTTAATTAAATAACAAGATTAGAGTCCAATTCTAATTCCAATATTAAAGGCGAATTTATTTAATTAAAATCAAATTTTAATTAAATAACAAGATTAGAGTCCAATTCTAATTCCAATATTAAAGGCGAATTTATTTAATTAAAATCAAATTTTAATTAAATAACAAGATTAGAGTCCAATTCTAATTCCAATATTAAAGGCGAATTTATTTAATTAAAATCAAATTTTAATTCAATATCAAATTAGAATCCGATTCTAACTTCTAGAATACATTTGGGTGAATAACTAATTAAAATTAAATTTTAATTAAGTATTAAATTAGAGTCCAACTCTAATTTAAATTGAATTAATATTTTAATCTAGGATAACATTTCTAAATAAAATAAAATTCAATTTAGGGTCAAATTTAACATTTAAGTTAAAATCACATTTTAACGAAAATATAAAAGTCATCAATTTTAAATAAAATTTTGATTTGGGTCAAAATTAAAATTATAGATCAAATTCATTAAAACAAAATTTTAAAACCATTTAAAAGTCAAATTCAAAACTGTTTTGAAAATTGCAAATTTGACCCAAATCTAAAATTGTTAAAGGCGCCCCCAAATCTCTAAAATTCAAACAGGACCCTTCATCTCAAAATTGCAAACTAGACCCATTATGAAATTATTAACAAACCCTTCAACATTCCTAAAATTTCAAGAAGGCCCTTCACTTAATAATTGCACATTGACCCCGAAATAATATTGCAAGCAGGGTCCTGCAAATTATGAATTTGCATGACAGACCCCCGTCTTCAATGTAGATCACCCGATTTCTGCAGAAACCCTAAAAATTTCAAATTTTGATTTCTTTTACTATTTCCCTTGGTGGCACCTACCAGCGCCGCCAACACCCTTTTTAACTCCCGGCGCCAAGTGGCGGCGGCAATATCCACCTTACAGCAATGCGCAGGTTGCTTGTGCAGCGCTGCAACATCCAGCAGCGCCCGACGCTACTGGCTAGTATGGCAGCAACACCGAGGCGCTGCCTTACCCAGCAACGTTGCAACGCTGCTACAACAGCAGCATCACATGCTGCTGCAACAGTGGCCGGTGTTGTTGGCCACAGACTCACGATCCAGTTTTCAACAATTTTTTTTTTATATGAAAATTTAATTTTTATCACACAACAAATTTTTGAGTGTGGTAACAAATTTTCTTAATTGCAAGAAACTAGAACATGTACAACAATCAACTTTTGATTGTACAAAAATATTAAACAATTTCTAATAAACACAAAGTAGGCTATGATACCACTGTTAGGAATCTACTTAATATGCGCAGCGAAAAATTAAAACAATTTTCGATTTCCGTCAGGATTCATCTTTGTGTTTAGATAGAAATTGTGATAAAAGTCATACATTTTTCTAGATCTGCAAACGCCTTTGTTTTTTTTTGTTCCAGCAACCTCGATTCACCGCCACAACTGTCCAGCCTTCAACGGTGATCCACACAGAGAACAAAATTGTAGTATTAGGATTTTTCTTGTGCTAGCAAGAATAATTAAAAATCTCTACAGTTTTTAAAAAACCTTAGTCATATTTATATATAAGCCCAAACGGGTTTGGCTTGACCCAATCCAATATTTAATTAACCCATTTAATTAAATCTGATCCATGAATTAATTAATCCAATTAAATAATTCAGGCATATAAATAAACGACTCAATTAATTAATTTATTTAATGCTTGTTAAATTAATTAATTGACAAATCACAATCTCCTAGTTCTTATTTTGTGTGCGACCTATCAAGTTCCGGATCACGATGCCTAACGATGTGAAATATTATTTTGATCTAATCAAAATTGATAAATTAAAAAACCCTTTTAATTTATCACCAATTCACACTCATCGTCTCAAATTGACATTTAGCAATGTGTCAGGGCAATACATGTAACGAAAAATGTCACGTGGTATGACAAAATCAAACTCGTTTGTTTACCGGGAAACTATAATTCCTTCGTCAATATGATCCGATCGATTATGAGATACGGAAGTGTGTCAATCTCGATTATTGATCATATCTTTTATTCTACTATTAAGTCAACGTGAGTCGAAAACTCCTTTTCGACTTATGAGTATACATTGGCCAAGAATTTCGTTATTGACTTAATTGAACGAAATGCAGATTACAATAGCTTACTATCTAAGAGTGACTAATCATCTATTGATCATTCACAATTTTCGTGTGATTCTTGACATATCCGAATGATGCCGTATTAGCAGCCCTTGGTAGAGCAATATCCAATACCGTCAAATAATGACTGTCCTCAAATAAGGCATTATGACGATCTTAAGTCAAAGGACCAATTTCACTATCGAACTTTAGAGATTAATCACTGACACTCAAATAGTTATCCATGTGGAATCTCTTAGCGGGTCTCCAATGTTTCGTTCTATAACAAAATATACACACGTCCATCTAAGTGTCATCACATTTTAACTCTTGAGATTATTTACTTACTTCACAAGTAAGAAATGCCACACATAATGGTCTATCTATAATAACGATATTTGTTTCTCGTTATTATTCATGACCATTGATTATTCAAAATCCAATCATATGTAATTTGTATCTCACAATCACAACTCATTGTGATTAACAAATCACTTAAATTTGAATTTTCGAACTCTATTATTAAATTTTATTGTCTATTAATTAAGTAATAAATCTGTCATTAAATTACATTAATTATATATTAAAAGCATTAATGTCCAAGGTTAATTGGACATAAGGCATAACACTTACAATATACAAATCACAGTATTGGGAATGATCTGATTATAAATTTATAAGTCAACCAATTTAGTTTCTATTCCGATCTTTTGTTGTTAACATTATTGACTTGTGTAGGGCCTTACGGCAAGATGATGATTCTGCCTGTGGATGATCCTAATGCCACCCATATTATGATTGCCACTGGTACTGGCGTGGCTCCCTACAGAGGCTATCTTCGCCGTATGTTCATGGAGGATATTCCCACATTCAAATTTGGGGGCCTCGCTTGGCTTTTCCTCGGGGTTGCTAACAGTGACAGTCTTCTTTACGACGATGAGCTCTCCAAGTATCTTCAGGACTACCCGGATAAATTCCGATATGACCGTGCACTTAGTCGAGAATGGAGGAACAAAAGTGGAGGCAGGATGTGCGTTCAGGATAAGATTGAAGAGTACAGCGATGAGATCTTTAAACTTCTGGATAGCGGAGCACACATTTATTTCTGTGGGCTTAAACGGATGATGCCAGGGATTCAGGATACACTCGAGAGGATTGCGAAGGAGAAAGGGGAGAGTTGGGATGAGAAGCTCTCACAACTGAAAAAGAACGGACAATGGCACATAGCAGTATATTGATGCTGCTCAAGCTCTAGCTGATTATTACTCGATATATCATGGGAAAGTCGAACTTCACTCACGCTTAATATTTTGCTTCAACTCTTCAGCTTATCATGCATACAAATTGGGAATTACCGAAAAATAAATAATATAAAGTACGTAAAATTTTTGAGATGATTAAAAAAACCGTATGAATTAAATTTGTAACATATTGAGCATTCTTTGCTGTGATATTGGATACATGTTCCGGTGGATATGACGGTCGATGAAATGAGACTTTTGACAGTTTTAAATTTGAGGTTTTTGTGAGAGATGTGTTAGAACGAAGGGTCGTATAACTGCAATATCTATGAAAAAATCATAGTTTTTTTTTTTTTAATATACGAGCTCGATTATTTTAGCCCCTGATTTAGATAAAAAAAAATAAAAATAAAAATAATTAGATTTTTAGTAAATTTTGATAAAAGTTGATAAAATGTATGATTCAAACATTGTGGGTCCCGTAAAAAATAAATATTAAATTTGACTAAAATATTTTCCATACCAAACACGAGCTACGTCAAATCTAGCAATACAAGTCCACGGTTGCTTACCACCAGTACATTTATTGGACAATGAATTGATGAGATCATTGCCAGTCAGACTACTGGTAAATAGGATTAATGCTATTGCAAGGCATTATTCTAAACGAAATTAATGAATTGCTTCTTTCTCCATATAAAAACCGAAGATGGCTATAGGTCACTGACCACATGAGAGTCGAAGGTGATTAATTCCTTTCCCTCTCCACAAAATTCCTTCAATATCAGATTGAGAAACAATGGGGCTTTCACAACAAAAAATATGCACGTTTATTTTGGTGGTTGTCATTGCTGCAATTGCATCTGTGGCAAGAGGTTCTAAGTCGATCAATTATTCTGGTTTTCCAAGATTCAATTGCGATCATGAAGAGTATCAAAAGTACTGCAGACCGCATGCTGTGGCAAATCCATACGTTCGAGGTTGTTTGCCAGTTGACAGGTGTCGTCCTGGCACCAACTGAAGGCGAAAGTATAATAATATGAACTGGTTGAAACGTGCATACACATTAATTAGGGTAAATCGTTTGCATATAATGATGAAATATTGTTATGATCGAGAAATAATAATGGATGGTGGTGATTTGATAGAGTTTTATGCATCCAATATCGAAAAACGACTTACGATATAATCATATTTTTGTTCTCTCTTTGAGTATGCTATTTGAAAATCGTCCAATATTAAAAATCATTTTAAATGATATTTGTCAGATTATGGTTGTCGTGCTTTTAATGACAAAGTTAAAAAAGAGGTTATATCAATCAAAACAATCGTTGTCTAAAGTAGTCAAAGAAGGAGACATTATTCATCATAACTAATATCAGTGTCCTGTAAATTTTTTAAGTGATTATTACTGTAATTGCTTAGTTTGGACAAATTTTGGGAAAAAATATGTAATTTCCGTATTCATAAATAAAAAAAAAAAAAAAAACATATCTAGCCATTGAAAATGGAGAATGTTTCGTCACAATGGCCTATCATGGCTTTGGACTTAAAGTTGGATCTATGCATTTGATCCCTCTTTTATAATATCAAAAAGTAAATAAAGTTAAAATTAAAATTTTATTCATTGTATTATCAAATACGTTACATATGTTAAAATCAAACTGAGTCAAGATGAGTCTATCCATCGTCGCCTCTTGTACAATATTAAAATATTGTTTAAAGTTCAAGTTTTGTACATTATATTGTCAAATATATCGTACCTATATCTGACGACGTGCATATTCAAAATAACTCTTGAAGGGTGCAATGATTGAAGGATGTTGTTTGATTGGAAAGGAAAACCAGCATGATTTATTTTTAAGAAAAGTTAATAAGTAATCATTTTGATTGCATAGTTTACTCATTTAGTACTATTTTTTCCCCTTTTTATCATTGATTCATTTTGGCGTTTTAGAAGGTCGAACGATGAATTCTTAATTCAACAATTTTGCAGCATTGTGCTATGAATGCTTATGACAAATGGCATCAAATAATATTTACTAATTCTTTAATACCTTTTACTTCTTTATCATTTTGGTGGTTTAGAGGTCAAAAGTAGAATTCTTTAATAAAATATTTCATGATACTTAGGTTTGGATTGCTTTATTCTCGAGTGATTATATTCAATGAGGTTGCATTAATTTCAATAGCAACTAGAGAAAAAATTGATTGACCAATCGTACTTTTTAGCCTCTTCCAATATATTGTTTCACATGCGGATTTTTGTGAAGGTAAGAAAGGAGATGAGCAAACTAAATTTTAAATGACTTCATTAAAATTCATTAAATAAGAAGGACTAGTGCAATTGCTTTTTACTTGAGTTTAAAAAGTAAAAACAAAACGTCCATCTTTTCTTGAATGTAAAATGTCTTTCACTTGCTTTCCATCTTCATATTTTTGAAATTTGTAATACCCAAAAATAAAAATAAATAATAATAAAAATAAATTTATACAGTATATTATAAGGCATAAAATGTACGAAATTAAATTTTAATATTATTTTGATTAATCATTAAATTATTATTGAATTATCTGATATGAAAATACTTAGACAAATTTAGAGTTTTATCATACTTGAAAATATAACGAAATTAGAATTTAATGTCTGTATATATATTGAATTACTATCAGATTATTTAATATAAATGTGTTTAGATAAATTTAGGATTTTAACATATTTATAGTAGAATTTTATCCTCATGCAATTGGAATTTTATTTGATAATGTTGTTTGTTAAGAGTTTAATCTAAATTCTAATGAAAAGTTCTAAGAAAGGGGGGCGGGGGGGGGGGGGGGGGGGGGAGGGGGGTGGAGAGAGGTGGGTTTTCAAGCTTGGATTTTCTTCAATTTTTCCATTGATTCGGAGAGAGGAAAAGAAAAGAAAATCTTTTTTGGCGTATTCAAGATCTGTTCGTACAAATTCACACAAGTAATTTAACAAATTAGATATGGATTTCTTTAAATGCCAAGTGATTTTGTGTTTTCACTTTATAATGTTTTAAGTTAAGTATTTTATGTGATATTATGTGATCCAAGGTAAAATAAAAAAATATGTTGTGGAAAATACCATAGGGTATTATTATATAGATCTACATATAAAAAGACACATGGCTAAATACCCTAAGTAGATATTGAGAACGGTATGACCTAAGTGAGAATGAGACGGTCGTGTTTCTATTCCACTAAAAAGCTATGTTATGTGCTTATTTTACTTACTTTTTGTATTAAACCGTGAAAATGTTGGCATGAAATCTATACTGAGTATATTCATATGCTAATTATATTCTAAATTACTTTTACAAATGTTTGATGGATCGAAGTTGGAGGTTGAGATTGTTGACAGAGTCCGTGTTGTTGGATCAAGAATTTAATATTTTCTTTTAATATTTAATTAGAAATCATTTTTTTAAATTCCAATTAAAATTTTATGTTTTTTTTCAAAATTAATGTTGAATTTTCAAAAATAAGTACTGAATTCATAGTACAATGGTGGATCACGTTAATTGATGTTTTATGAGACAATAAGATAACTTATTTTTATTCTGTAAAATTAACTTGAGTCAAGATGAGTCTATCCATCGTCGCCTCTTGTACAATATTAAAATATTGTTTAAAGTTCAAATTTTGTACATTATATTGTCAAATATATCGTACCTATATCTGACGACGTGCATATTCAAAATAACTCTTGAAGGGTGCAATGATCGAAGGATTTTGTTTGATTGGAAAAGGAAAACCAGCATGATTTATTTTTAAGAAAAGTTAATAAGTAATCATTTTGATTGCATAATTTACTCATTTAGTACTATTTTTTTTCCTTTTTTATCATTGATTCATTTTGGTGTTTTAGAAGGTCGAACGATGAATTCTTAATTCAAACAATTTTGCAACATTGTGCTATGAATGCTTATGACAAATGGCATCAAATAATATTTACTAATTCTTTAATACCTTTTACTTCTTTATCATTTTGGTGGTTTAGAGGTCAAAAGTAGAATTCTTTAATAAAATATTTTATGATACTTAGGTTTGGATTGCTTTATTCTCGAGTGATTATATACAATGAGGTTGCATTAATTTCAATAGCAACTAGAGAAAAAATTGATTGACCAATCGTACTTTTTAGCCTCTTCCAATATATTGTTTCACATGCGGATTTTTGTGAAGGTAAGAAAGGAGATGAGCAAACTAAATTTTAAATGACTTCATTAAAATTCATTAAATAAGAAGGACTAGTGCAATTGCTTTTTACTTGAGTTTAAAAAGTAAAAACAAAACGGCCATCTTTTCTTGAATGTAAAATGTCTTTCACTTGCTTTCCATCTTCATATTTTTGAAATTTGTAATACCCAAAAATAAAAATAAATTTATACAGTATATTATAAGGCATAAAATGTACGAAATTAAATTTTAATATTATTTTGATTATTCATTAAATTATTATTGAATTATCTGATATGAAAATACTTAGACAAGTTTAGAGTTTTCTCATACTTGAAAATATAACGAAATTAGAATTTAATGTCTGTATATATATTGAATTACTATCAGATTATTTAATATAAATGTGTTTAGATAAATTTAGGATTTTAACATATTTATAGTAGAATTTTATCCTCATGCAATTGGAATTTTATTTGATAATGTTGTTTGTTAAGAGTTTAATCTAAATTCTAATGAAAAGTTCTAAGAAAGGGGGGCGGGGGGGGGGGGGGGGGGGGGAGAGAGAGAGAGAGAGAGAGAGAGAGGAAAAGAAAAGAAAATCTTTTTTGGCGTATTCAAGATCTGTTCGTACAAATTCACACAAGTAATTTAACAAATTAGATATGGATTTCTTTAAATGCCAAGTGATTTTGTGTTTTCACTTTATAATATTTTAAGTTAAGTATTTTATGTGATATTATGTGATCCAAGGTAAAATAAAAAAATATGTTGTGGAAAATACCATAGGGTATTATTATATAGATCTACATATAAAAAGACACATGGCTAAATACCCTAAGTAGATATTGAGAACGGTATGACCTAAGTGAGAATGAGACGGTCGTGTTTCTATTCCACTAAAAAGCTATGTTATGTGCTTATTTTACTTACTTTTTGTATTAAACCGTGAAAATGTTGGCATGAAATCTATACTGAGTATATTCATATGCTAATTATATTCTAAATTACTTTTACAAATGTTTGATGGATTGAAGTTGGAGGTTGAGATTGTTGACAGAGTCCGTGTTGTTGGATCAAGAATTTAATATTTTCTTTTAATATTTAATATTTAATTAGAAATCATTTTTTTAAATTCCAATTAAAATTTTATGTTTTTTTTCAAAATTAATGTTGAATTTTCAAAAATAAGTACTGAATTCATAGTACAATGGTGGATCACGTTAATTGATGTTTTATGAGACAATAAGATAACTTATTTTTATTCTGTAAAATTAACTTATTTTTATTCTGAAAAGTTTCTTCAAAATTTTTGGATTATTATGTGTCAATCAATTTTTATAATGGTTAAAGTGATTATTTAAGTAACTTTCGGAGCATAAGTTTCGGGGCATTACGGCATGGTATCAGAGCCCAATCAATCTTTTTTGTAGATTTTGTGAAATTAAAATTTTAGATTTCTTTATATATTAAAGTTAAATAAATTTTTATCCACACGATATTGGGATAGGGATAATTGAATTCTAACTGACGATCTAAGGTATGAAATTATTTATTAGCTTTAAATTTCTGTTTAATGAGTTTTGGATTTTTTTTTTCTACAGGGCTAAAAAGGGAAAAGGAAAACATATAATTATGATATTGGGTGTTGAAATTTTAATAAATTGGATAAAACTATTTTTTATGTAGCACTAATTGCAGAATCGTATATTTATAATTTTCATGTAATAATATCTATGTCACGTGTATATCTTTTGAGTGGATATATTTAATTATACACTGTATGCATGAATGCATTGACGTTGGTTCAGTTATTTTCAAATTAAATGGCAATAAAATAAAATAATAATAATATGGGGAAATTTATTTTCTTGATTTGCGTATTTATAATACTAAAAGGCTCTGTCAAAAAGATCTAAACTGCCTAGGGCGAGTTTGAAATTTAAGCGGTCCACTTGTCACCCCCTCCTTACCTAGAAGCTTTTTTTAATTGCATGTTATTCAATCAATAAAACGAAAAACAATATTACAGACCCACAAAAAAAAAAAAAATATGTAAAGCCCATTTAGTCAAATCTTAATGAAAACAATGTGAATATATTGAACGGACACTACATTATTTTATCGTTGTCAGCTATATCAAGATGATTGAGTTGACTAAAATGGTGTCTAATACACGATCCCCACATATAAGGTTTCTATGGTAACTAACTTAGCACGAGAATTATTTGCTGCTATGCGAGAAATATCGCAGCAGCAACCACCTCAACAGCCACGAGGCAACTCGAGAACATCTTCAATTATAGAACAATTTCGCAAGATGCACCCACTCATGTTTGAAGGTGGTCTCGATCCACTAGCTGTTGAAGAATGAGTTCGCCATCTTGAGCTTCTCTTCAAATTTATGTAATGTACTGATGCATAAAAAATCCTTTGTATGGTATTCATAATGGAGAAGGGAGCAAGTCATTGGTGGGAGATGACTACTAGATCCTGCACCAAGGAGCAACAGTGTAACATTACATTGGCATAGTTCAAAGAGATAGTATTTCAGAAGTACTTTTCAGCTACTTTAAGAGACAAGAAGGAAGCAGAGTTTCTTGAGCTAAAGCAGGGAAACATGATGCTTACCGATTATCATCGAAAATTTAAGGAGTTATCCAGATTTGCCCTGCATTTGGTGGACACAGAGAAGAGTCAAGCTCAACGTTTTGAGCGTGGACTGAGAACGGACATTAGGAAAGCAGTGGCAATATTCCAATTAAGTATTTATTAGGGAGTTCTGGAGAAGGCTAAAGTATACGCATTTGACGATCACCAGAGTGGTGAAGGTAGTAAACAGTAAACTGGCTCCTTAGACAAGTGCAAATGGCACGGCAATAGCAAGAGGAATGGAAGACGCGACGATAAGAAAGGAAGAACGGAAATAGATGCCAATGTCGGTGACAAGAATCCACGACCTCTTTATCCTAAATATCAAAAACCTCATAAGGGAGAGTGCTTGACAGGAAAATGTATCTATTACAAATGTGGCAAGCCAGGATAAAATTACATTGAGGGACAATCTAAGAANTGAATATATTGAACGGACACTACATTATTTTATCGTTGTCAGCTATATCAAGATGATTGAGTTGACTAAAATGGTGTCTAATATACGATCCCCACATATAAGGTTTATATGGTAACTAACTTAGCACGAGAATTATTTGCTGCTATGCGAGAAATATCGCAGCAGCAACCACCTCAACAGCCACGAGGCAACTCGAGAACATCTTCAATTATAGAACAATTTCGCAAGATGCACCCACTCATGTTTGATGGTGGTCTCGATCCACTAGCTGTTGAAGAATGAGTTCGCAATCTTGAGCTTCTCTTCAAATTTATGTAATGTACTGATGCATAAAAAATCCTTTGTATGGTATTCATAATGGAGAAGGGAGCAAGTCATTGGTGGGAGATGACTACTAGATCCTGCACCAAGGAGCAACAGCGTAACATTACATTGGCATAGTTCAAAGAGATAGTATTTCAGAAGTACTTTTCAGCTACTTTAAGAGACAAGAAGGAAGCAGAGTTTCTTGAGCTAAAGCAGGGAAACAAGATGCTTACCGATTATCATCGAAAATTTAAGGAGTTATCTAGATTTGCCCTGCATTTGGTGGACACAGAGAAGAGACAAGCTCAACGTTTTGAGCGTGGACTGAGAACGGACATTAGGAAAGCAGTGGCAATATTCCAATTAAGTATTTATTAGGGAGTTCTGGAGAAGGCTAAAGTATACGCATTTGACGATCACCAGAGTGGTGAAGGTAGTAAACAGTAAACTGGCTCCTTAGACAAGTGCAAATGGCACGGCAATAGCAAGAGGAATGGAAGAGGCGACGATAAGAAAGGAAGAACGGAAATAGATGCCAATGTCGGTGACAAGAATCCACGACCTCTTTATCCTAAATATCAAAAACCTCACAAGGGAGAGTGCTTGACAGGAAAATGTATCTATTACAAATGTGGCAAGCCAGGATAAAATTACATTGAGGGACAATCTAAGAAGGCTGATGATCAAAAGGTGGGCAAGGCTAGAGTTTTTGCTTTAATACTGGAAGAGGCAGAGCTCGACTGCAATGTAGTGGCAGGTATCATATCAATCCTATAATGCTTGCTTTTATATTAATTGATTCAAGAGCTACACACTTGTTTGTTTCTTCGATATTCGTTTCAAAGTCGAATCTAGAATGTGTACCCCTTGATAACATATTAGAAGTATCACTACTGTCTAGAAAGGTGCTTAATGCAAATTATATAGCGAGGAATCTAAATTTAGAAACAGATGGGAAGATTATGAAAATAGACTTAGTGGTCTTAGATATGAAAGATTTTGATGTTATACTTGGTATGGACTGTTTGTTGGAAAACCATGCAGCCATTCGTTGTTTCGAGAATGATGTAATGTTTCAACGACTTGATGAAGAAAAATTTCATTTCTTTGGAACAAGGGTGAAACCTCTACCTCAACTTATATCAACAGTATAGGCTGTACGCTTGTTGAAAAATAAGCCTGCTCAAGTATTTTTAGTGTCGTTGACCAGCATTGGTCAGAAAGAGTTAAGCATTGTCAAAGTCCCAGTGGTTAGGGATTTTTCAAATGTACTTCCAAAAGATTTACCAGGAATGCCTCCAAATCGAGAGGTCGGGTTTACTATTGACCTTGTACCAGTTGCCGTGCCAATTTCAAAGGCCTATTATCGTATGACACCGATAGAACTTCGGGAATTGAAAGTATAATTACAGGAGTTGCGAGATAAGGATTTTATTAGACTCAGTGTGTCATCATGGGGAGCTCCAATATTGTTTGTAAAGAAGAATGATGGATCGATGAGAATGTGTATCAATTATTGAGAGCTGAACCATATTACAATTAAAAATAAATATCCCCTCCCTAGAATTGAAAATTTATTGACCAGCTACAAGGTGCCAATGTTTACTCGAAAATTGATTTAAGATCAGGCTATCATCAATTGAAAATTAAATCAATTGACGTTTCTAAGATAGCATTTAGAACTTGATATGGGCACTGTGAGTTCTTGGTGATGCCTTTTGGCTTGACAAATGTGTCAGCAGTATTCATGGATCTCGTGAATTGAGTTTTCCACAACTATTTGGATCAGTTTGTTATTGTCTTTATTGATGACTTACTAATCTATTCAAAAAGTGAGCATGAACATATAAAACACCTAAGGATTATTCTCGAAATACTGAGAACGGAGAAGCTCTATGCCAAATTTAAAAGTGCGAATTTTGGCTCAATAGAGTGGGATTTTCAGGCCACATAATCACAGCCCAATGAATTGAAGTTGACCCAAGTAAAATGGAAGCAATTACCAATTGACCCCGACCAACTAATGTTAGAGAAATGCACAGCTTCTTGGGATTAGTAGGGTACTACAAGCGATTTATTTAAGGGTTTTCAAAAATTGCGATCCCAATGACTCAGTTAACAAGAAAAAAATGTGAAGTTTCAATGGACGGATAAGTGTGAACAGAGCTTTCAGGAACTAAAACAGAAATTGGTCTCAGCTCTTGTCTTGACCATGCCCAAAGGGACAGAAGGTTGCGTTATCTACAACTATGCATCTAAGTAGGGTCTAAGATGTATACTTGTGCAGCATGGTAAAGTTATCGCATATGCTTCCAAACAACTAAAGTCGTATAAAGAAAACTATCCAACGCATGACTTAGAATTAGCGGGAGTAGTTCATGCATTAAAGATATGATGACATTATCTCTACGGAGCTAAATGTGATATTTATACGGAATACAAGAGCCTAAAGTACTTCTTCACCCAGAATAAATTGAACATGAGACAACGTAGATGGTTAGAATTGGTGAAAGATTATGATTGTGAAATTCATTATCATCCAAGAAAAGCCAATGTAGTTGCTGATGCATTAAGCAGAAAGGCAGCAGGACATTGACAGCTTTACCTACTACACATAATCAGAGATATAGATAACTTAAAACTTGAGGTGATCTTACTTTTAGTAGATATTGCAACACAAATTTCTACCCTTACAGTTCAACCTACTATTTAAGATCGAATTAAGAAAGTTCAGGATAATGATCCATTTCTAGAAAATATTAAAGGTGAAGTTGGCACTAGCAAACAAAAAGGTTTTGAGATGGTTGAAAATAACACTTTGATGCTTAAAGGAGGATTGTGTGCACCAAAGGATGAGAGATACGAAAAGAAATATTATAAAAACCTCACTTCATCCCATATGTAGCACATCCCAAGGGAACAAAAGTGTATAAAGACCTTCAAAGCATATTCTAGTGGTGAAATATGAAATAAAGGAATATGTATATTCGTAAAATAGTGCATGGTTTGCCAGCTATTGAAAGCAGAACATCATAGACCATCAAGATTATTAAATCCACTAGAGACTTCTGAGTGGAAATGGGAGCACATTACCATGAATTTTGTAATTGGTTTTCCAAAATCAAATAGAGGAAATGATGCAACCTGGGTTATTATTGACAGATTGACAAAGTTAGCTCACTTCTTACTAATAAAGATAACTTTTAGTATGGATCAATTAGCTAAGCTATATGTTGGAAAAGTGATTAGATTACATGGACCCCAGTCCCAATTGTCTAAGATAGAGATCTGAGATTCACTTCAAAATTTTGAAAAAGTATGCACAAGGAAATGGGGACTAAGCTAAACTTCAGTACATCTTTTCACCCATAATTGATGGTCAATCAGAAAGGACTGTTCAAATTCTTGAGGATATGCTTCGAGCATATGTCCTAGATCTTGGAGGAAGTTGTGAAAAAATCTACTATTGCTAGAATTTGCATATAATAATAGCTTTCAGAATACTACAGAAACAACCCCCCTATGAGGCTTTATATGGAAGGAAATGCAGATTTACATCTCACTGGGATGAAATTGGTGAGCGAAGAATTCTAGGGCATGAGATTATTGAGCGAACAATCCTAGCTATTGAAAAGATTCGAGCTAGAATAAAGACTGCTTAGGATCGACATAAAAGTTATGCAGATAATAGGGAATGATCTTGAATTTGAGGTTGGTGACAAAAGTTTTCTTAAAAATAGCCCCCCATGAAGGAATTATTTGATTTGGCAAAGGGAAAATCTCCAACCAAGATCATAGGACCTTTTGAGATTTTGAAGCGTGTGGGAACTGTTGCTTACGAGCTGGCACTGCCTCTCGAACTTTCAGTATTACACAATATCTTTTATATCTCTATGCTTTGAAAATACGTATCAGATCCTAGCCACATAATTAATCCTAAATCGTCGGACATTCATCCAGATTTAACTTACGAGAAAACTCCAATAGTCATCTTGAATAGGAAGATTCAGACACTTTAAAATAGAGAAAATTCATTGATAAAAGTTCAATGGCGAAATCGAGTAGTAGAAGAGTCCACTTGGAAACATGAGGAAGATATTAAAAATAAATGCCAACAACTTTTCGATAATCAAGGTAAATTTTGGGGATGAAATTGTTTTAAAGAGGAGAGAATGTAATACCCAAAATAATAATAATAAAAAAAAATAATAATAACAACAACAACAACAACAACAAATTCATACAAAATGTTATGAGACATAAAATGTACCAAATTAAATTTTAATATTGTTTTGGATATCTATTAAATTATTATTGAATTATCCGATATGAAAGTATTTAGACAAGTTTAGAGTTTTATCGTACTTATAACTTGAAAAATAAGAGTTTTAACGAAATTAAATTTAATGTTTGGATATATATTGAATTATTATTGGATTATTTAATATAAAGATGTTTAGACAAATTTAGGATTTTAATATATTTATACTAGAATCTCATCTTCATGTAATTAGAATTTTATTTGATAGGTTGTTTGTTAATAATCCAATTTAAATTTTAATTAAGAGTTTTATTAAAATTCTAAGTAGGTCATTATCATTATTACACCTATAAATATCATCTTGTTGTGCACTTTAATTTAGAGAGAAAAAATAAAAGAAAGAGAGGTAGAAAGAGAAAACCAAAAAACGTGAGAAAGAGGGAGAAGGAGAAGGAAAAGAGAAAAAGAGAGAGAAAAGAAAGGGAAAAAGGAAAAAAAAGGCAGAGAAAAGAGAAAAAGAGAGAGAAAAGAAAGGGAAAAAAGAAAAAAGAAAAAGGCAGAGAAAAGAGAAGAAAGAAAGGAAAAGAAAAGATAGGAAAAGATAAGAAAAATCTTTTCTGATTTGTTTGAGATTCGTTCGAGATTCGTTCGCAATAATTCTTAATCTTAAATAACTCAAGTACACGAGAAATTTAATGAATTAGTATGTATTTCTCTAAATACCAAGTGATTTTGTGTTTTTATGTTTTAAGTTAAATTTTTTATGTGCTATTATGTGATCCAAAGTAAAGAAAGAAGTTGTGGAAAATATTGTAGGTTATTATGATGTAGATCTACACAGAAATCAATCACAAGGCTAAATAGCCTAAATGGATTTGAGAACGGATATGACCTAAGTGAGAATGAGACGGTTATGTTTTCTATTCCGCTAACAAGTCATGTTATATGCGTATTTTACTTGTTTTTCACATTAAACTGTGAAAATACTAGCATGAAATCTATACTTGTTATATTCATATGATCATTCTATATTCTAAATTATTTTTACAGATGTTTGATGGGTCGGAATTAGAGGTTGAGACTGTTGACAGAGTCCATGTTGTTGGATAAAAAATTTAAGATGTTCTCATAATATATAATATTTGGGTAGAAAACATTTTTTTTTATTCAAATTAGAAATTTATGTTTTTTTTTTTCAAAATAAATGTTGAATTTTTAAAAATAAGTACTGGATTTATAGTACAATAGTTGATCACATTAATTGATGTTTTATTAGACAATAAGATAATTATTTTTACTCCGCAAAGTTTCCTCAAATTTTTCGTATTATAATGTGTCGATCAACTTTTATAATGGTTAAAGTGATTATTTAAGTAATCTCCGAAGCATAGATTTTGGGACGTTACAAGAACCGTTGGAAAGGACATCTAGAACTGTTCGACAATCATTTTGATAGAAAAAGATAGTTTTAATAGTAATTTTTAGGCGAATGCATGGTTTAAAATTATAATTTTTTTTTTTACATGTATAATATTTTATTGCGTAAATGTGACCAAATAGTAATTTAAAGATGGAAGTGTTAATAACTGCAAAAGTTGGTGACAATTGTTATTTTCTTTAATAAAAATATTGAGTTTATCATATTTTGTTCGAATTTGAATCTTTAACTGTATTAAATTAACAGATTAATTTCAAAATATGGTAAAAAAATTAAAAATAATCACAAACAAACAGATATATCCTCGAATTAAATTTTAATTAATTTTAAAAATACTTCTAAATTCGAAGTGTCATTAATTGGGATTTTAATAAATTTTATTAGAATTAGGTATCTCCCACTGATATTTTAATAAATTTTAATGAATCCTCTAGTATTTATTCTCAACAACTTGTGAATTTATAAGAATTTGATTAATAAAAGGATCTCATTTTTAAAATTACATGTGGCAAACTGTTTTAAAATTTAATCATTTTTAATGAAATTTTTATGAATTACTGAATTCCAAGTGTCATCAATTGATTTTAATAAATTTTATTAAAATATATTAAAATTATGTATATTCTACTGAAATTTTAATGAATTTCAATGAAACCTTTAGTATTAGCAACATTTTGTGGATTTATAAGGATTTTATTAATAAAAAGATCCCAATCTTAAAAATACATATAGCAAATTATTTTAAAATTTCATCATTTTAATAAAAACTTTATGAATTATGTAAAAATTTATTTAGTTTTGTTAAAATATTTTAAAATTGATTAAAAATCTCAATTAAGAACACTTAAATCAACGTTGAACAAACATTACGTTCTTTTAGGATGAAAACAAAAGATGACCTGGAGTCGTCCGCCCCAAATACCAACAAATTATGTATACGCTAACTGTCCATGTCGTGAGCAAGTTCATTGGAATCGCCAAAGTCAAGTGATGACAACTTGAGTAACTCTTGAATGAGCGTTTTATTATTTTACTTCTCATTCCTTTCCAACCTTGGAGCGCTCATCTTTCCCCCACCACAAAAAAAAAAAAATCCACTGTCATCTAACTAACCCTAAAACCTGAAAAGATATTTACAGCAAAAGAAAAGAAAACCCGGAAGTTCTATAACGTAAAGGTTGTATTTTTCTGGGGTTTAGCTTGAAGAAGTATGAAAATTTGAAGAACCCAATTTCGGGTGAGTTTCCGTTCGTTTTGTTCCACTAATTATTGTAGTTGAGCTTCTTGTATATGATTTCCTTTTATTTTTGGAGTATTAATTTCTAATCGAATTATATAGAGTTGAAATTTTAAGGTTAATTTGTTTTGACTTGGTTATTTTTAGTTTATTTACTCAGGTGTATATGTGTTATGGGTAGTCAAGAGTTGTTGCGGCATGTGGCTATGCGGACTGGGGCTGCAATTACTTCATTTGAAAATGGCTTTGAGCACGTGGGTAGTGAAAACGGGTTAGAGCAAGTGGATATTCAGGATTTGACTGACCCAATGGTTAAGGGGGACGGGA